TACTCAATACAAATCAAGATTAAAAATTTTTCTAAGAAGATTATAATATTCTTGCTTATATATGAGTCTTCATTAAGATTAACTTTTCGTGTTTATTTATTATTATCTTATGCATGCACGTGTTATAATTATGAAAAATATTTCCTATCACTGTAAAATACTTCCTATTGTAATTCGGAATATCATTTTCATTTAGAAATTAACATTTGAATTTTTAGAGATATGTAATAAAAGTATATAGTTCATATGCGACTACAGAATTTGTATAGCATAAGGAAAGACTTACAAAGAAATTTATAAATATTATGAACAACAATCGCAATACAGAAAAGAAGAGTTTTGCTGACAAATTTAAAAATTTCAGATACAGATCTGAAAATAATTTTGGTAAAGCACCAAGATTATTATATAAGCATGATAACAATATAATACTGCAAAAATTTCTAATGTAAAATCTGCAAAAATTCTATCAATCAATCTGAACATCGTACATAATAATTTTGAAACAAAGTTAACAGATACTTTCAGATCATCTGTAACTAGCCAAATTTTTAAATAGTAAAAACCGTTCTTTTCATGTACTTTAAGAAACATCAGGCCGGACATATTTTAATTTTTTATTCAACTTTATTTAACTCCTGTCCGGATTAAATGCAAAGTCAACAACTCTTCGCGGAGGGTCGGAGAATCGAAGTTCCTCGAAGGAAAGGTGGAGTCATAGGTAGACTTGTACGGTAACGTCTGCGAGTGTCTGGCACGAGTCAGTATAGTAAAGCTGACTGGCTGGCTGGCTGGCTGGCTGGTTTCGTAGCATGATCGGACGTAGTTAGTTCGGGACCGAGCGGCACGCATCCCAAACTTTGATTAAACGAGTCGCAGGGTCTCGCAGCCCGACTCATTTGTCTGCCGTCCGCCCTCCCCCCCCCCGTCTTCTCCCATTCTCCTCTTTACCAACCCCTCGTACCACGTTCTCTCACGTGGGCTTCTGCCCGATGCTACCAAGAATCGCGAGCACTCTTGATAAATTCAGCCAGACCGCGCTCGAATATCTAATGTCCTCTCAAAACGATCGTTTTGCATTATCGTCGAGATAATCAGTGATGAGCAAGTGTAATTTTATCATGTCGCACTCGGTACGTTACTGAAGATACACAGGGTGGTCCACG